ATTGATCCAATCATGTTGATGGGTAACTGCTAATAATTTGAAGATATTTGTACATAATGGCCTGGTAACTTAATTGCAACCTGTATATCCTAAAAGAACTCTTGGACATAAATATTACAGTCTAACATAAGAACAGAAATTTGTCTACTACGTACTTTAATGTCCATTGATATGGGAATACATAAATCAATAGTCATATATTTATGGGGTGGAATACTATACTGCAGTTAAAGAATGAACTGTACCCACTTGAATAAATACAATTGATATAAAAATAAAAAACTGAGTATAATCAGGTCAATAGAATATGCATAATGATACTGTTGTGCAAATTTAAAACACAAAACAATAATCCTCCTATCTAATAATAGACAAACATGGTAATTGACCATACCTTTGCTACTCTTCCCATTGACTAATCAGCAGGATATGCAAATTAACTGCCAACAAAGATGGTGGCCGGCAGCCACGCAGCTGAAGCAAACATTAGGCTTGCTTGCTCCAGTGATGGAGGAAGCCAAGGTTCCCCGCCTGCCACGGCCCAGCTCTGAGCTCCGGGAGCAACAATGTTTCAATTATAGAAGCTAAACAAACCCAGATACCTGCTTTCAGCCAGCCATGGCCTCAGAGCTGGAGCCAGACCTCAGAGCTGGAGCCGGCTCTCAGCACCAGTGACAGCTATAGAAGGTAAATAAATCCCAGAATTAAAAAGGAAAAAAGGAGAGGCTGGGAGCTTCAGTCGCCCACCAGCCTGAAAACGGCCCTCAGCCCCTCACCCAGACTGGCCAGGCACCCCAGTGGGGACCCCCACCCTGAAGGGGGTGTAACCAGCTGCAAACAGCCATCAGCCTGTCATCCAGGCTGGCCAGGCAACCAAGCGGGACCCCCACCCTGATCCAGGTCACCTTTCAGGGCAAACCAACCGGCCCCCACCTGTGCACCAGGCCTCTATCCTATATAGTAAAAGGGTAATATGCAAACTGACCCTAACAGCAGAAAGACTGGGAATGACTGGTCACTATGACACACACTGACCACCAGGGGGCAGACGCTCAATGCAGGAGCTGCCCTCTGGTGGTCAGTGCGCTCTCACAGGGGGAGCTCTGCTCAGCCACAAGCCAGCTGATGGCTGCCAGTACAGCGGTGGTGGTGGGAGCCTCTCCTGCCTCCTCAGCAGCACTAAGGAGGTCTGACTGCAGCTTAGGTCTGCTCCCCGCTGGCAAGTGGACATCCCCCGAGGCTGCCGGGCTGCCAGAGGAATGTCTGATTGCCATCTTAGGCCCAATCCCCCAAGGATCAGGCCTAAGCCAGCAAGTGGGCATCCCCCGAGGGGTCCCAGACTGCGAGAGGGCACAGGCCAGGCTGAGGGACTCCCTCCCCCCGAGTGCATAAATTTTTGTGCACCGGGCCTCTAGTATTTTTATAAATGCCTTTGTGTAAACCAAAAGAGACAATGAGTTTAATGGTTACTTCTTGGAAAGGGAAAAAGTGAAGGGCATCATTGATGAGTACAAAGATGATGATAACTTGATCAGAAGTAAATATAATAAATTATTAACCAAGTATCTAGTTTATTACATTATTCTATGTATTTTTCTAGACATTATAAAAGTTATAGATTTTTTAAATGCCCTGAGACCTTTTCTTCATGGCCCAGAATCATGAAATCTGGATCATGGGTCCAGAGCAGCACTACCTGGGAAACCCAGAGATGATTCCTCTGCCCTTACCTGCTACCTTCATATCCACGACGGCCTCTTCAGAGATGTCACCATCTTTAAAGAAACAGTGGTACTTCCCCTCATCAGTAATACTGACATTATAGATCCTGAGGGTCATTTTGCCCTCTCCCAGGGCATCCTTCAGGAGCACTGTGTGATTTGTATAGTTCTGAGTGCTTTTTCCAGAGAGTTTTTTCTCCTTCTTGTAAACGGAAATTGGCTGGTAGTGATCCCAATACCAGCCCACCTGCATGTGTTCCGCACTCTCTGGTGGGGAAAGCTGGCAGCTGATCTCAGTGTGCCCGCCTACCAGGACCACCTGGAGGCTCCTGGAAGTATGCACAGTGAACTGCTCTGTGAAGGAAGTCGGAGAACAAGGTTTTAGTGTGAAAGCCACAGAAATATGCTTCACCTAGACCCCTCTGCTCCAGACACACTGGCCTCTTTCTGGCTCTTGACGCCAAGTTCTTTCTGACTCTGAATTTGAGTCTCAGGAGTATCTTCACTCTGACATCCACACTCTGCCTCATTATTTCTCAGGTCCCAGCTTAAATGGCAACTCCTTAGATTTTGTTTGATTACCCATTTACCATCTCCCCTAGTCATACCTACACATGTCTTCATAGCACATACACTACCTGATATTGTTCATTTCTGTCTTTATTTTTTCTCATGACCCACTAATATGTAAGGCATGCGACAGCAGAGTTTTGTCTTATTCCTTTTTTAATTCTCTTCATTATCCTCAGTGCATAAAACACTGTCTGTGCCTACTAGGCACTCTGTAAATCCTTAGCAAAGGAATGGAAGATTCTCCCATTGTCTAGAGCTAGGATGTGAACCACTATTGCCCAACAACATCCTTTACTTATCAAACACACAACTGCTTTTTTCAGTATCCTTTTTGGTGGATTAAAGATGGCCACAAATTTTTTGATGTGCCTTCCATGAAGATAAAGGGTCTATGTCCCCTCCTCTTGAAACTGTATGTTTTGAGATTGCTTTGCTCAGTAGGATACGGCAGAAGATGACCTGCAATAACTTCTGAGCCTGTCTTAAGAAATTAGCAGCTCTCATTCTTTTAATTTATTTCCTTTATTATTTTTTAACACTCTTTCTGGAAGCCATGAACTGCCAAAATGAAGTCAAATCCTCTGAGTCCATCATGGAAGAAAGGCCAGGTGTTAACATGCCATCTGATAATCCCAGCCTTCCAGCCTACTCCACCAAAGTGCCAGACATGAATGAAACCACCTTGGGTTCTTCAGACCACCCTCCCCACCAGCTGAATACACCAAGTGACCTCAGTCTGTGTCACGTGGAACAGAGGAAAGCACTAGCCAGAATTCCTGACCCACCAACTGTGAAATGTAATAAAATGTTGGTTGTTTTAAATCATCCTTTTGGGGGGTAACCTGTTATAAAGCTACAGGTGACTATCACACAGCTCCTCCCATACTCTGAGGTTTTGCTTCTTTCAACTACGCCAAATTCATTCCTGTCTCTGCCGACTATGTTTTTCCTTCCCACCATAAGGAATCTGAGTTATCAGACCTAAGGTCTACTGCACTAAGAAAAATTTGTGGACAGTTCCAGCTCACACCATCTTCTTTACCTGAGGTTCTACTAAACTTACAATTCTAAACTAAACGTATAGTCACATAAATGATCGTGTTTTGTTCTTAAATATAAGGGGTATGTTCATTATGATTTGCCAGTGAGAATTCGAGCCTCCCAGGGGAGATGGTAGACATTTATCCTTCTCATCTCCTAGGCACACCATTGAAGCACTGTGGATGGAGTTGGGGCTGAGAAAGATCCAGTCACTGAAATAACATTTCTTAATCACAAGTTGTTTGAAGCCTCATTTCTATCCTCAAAACTATAACAGAAAGGGTGGAACCAGAAAAACATCAGCGAGAAACCGTCCTCATTTTGTTCAGTGTCAGTTACCTCCATGATCTTTCTTTATCACTGTGACACACCATGAAAAAGAGTAGATATCCTTACCAGAGGTGAGCACCATCTGTAGGAGGAGAAAGGTCACAAAGCATCCAGATATACAGGAAAGTGGAGGCTCCATCACACCTGGAAAATGCAATAGCAATTGTGGGATCAGGCAGCAAGAATCAAAGTAACGAGAGAGAGAGAGAGAGAGAGAGAGAGAGAGAGAGAGGAGAGAGAGAGAGGGAATTTTGAAATCCTGTCTTTCTGGAGAATTCCCTTTGATGTGCAACCAAATGATTTAGTCAAACCACAAATTCAGACCCATTGAGTTGCTCTCTTTCCTCCTTCTTTCCTGTGCTCTTACTGTGGCTCATTGCCTTCCTCAGATTAGTATTCTGAAGGGCAGCTGTGGTAGAAGAGAACATAAAGGTATACAGAACCCAGCTATGTTCATCTCCACACTCACGCAGCCTCATCTGCCCCTTGGCCTGAGCCACTTGGTCAATGGAGAGCCCTGGCTGCTGCTTCTGATGTGGCCTCATTCCCTAAAGGGGGTATTCTGTGCCTTCTACTGTGGGGAATAGGCCAGCTTTAGAAAAACATTGACAAGATCACTGTAATGGGCAGGCTCTGACAAGCCTGAATCTCTGGGATTTCTGGCCTCACCCACTACTTCCACATTCAAAGAAAATGCCACATCAGGGAGATGGGATCTAGACTTCTCAGTAGCTGCCCAGAAGGGATAAGTCAAAACACTCAGATGTAAAGGGGGTATTGAAGCATAGTAACCTCTATCTTGTAAAAAAAAACCTGCTGTTTGAAATTCTCTGCTATTGTTAGATAGTCCCTTGTTCTGTAAATTCTGTCATTTTTAGACAGTCTCTTATTCTATAAAATAACTGTTTTAGTTTGAATAATAGAAAAAGATAAAAACTTAACTGTCTGACCTTGCAGCTAGCCATCTAACATAATGGACTAACGCTGATAATGCCCATATTCTTATGCCAAATGTTTGTTCTTTATGTATCTAAGATTACAAACCGTCTGTAACAATAACTCACACAGAGCTCTTTGTAAAATCTGCAGACAAAGAAGCTCAAAGGGTATAATTACAGGAAACTTTCTGTATGACTTCACTCAGAGATTTGGAAGAAATGCCTCCTTCTGGGCCCACACGCAATAAACGATTCCTAATTAATTGGCCCATTAAAGCATCTCGCATCTCACTCGCTGATTTATGATACAACAGTATTAACATGTAACAAGAATAAGCAAACAGATAAATGCTACTCCTTTCTTGCTTTATTTCCTAATTTTTCCCTCTCACTTTTTAAAAAATATGTTTTTGTTGATGTCAGAGAGAGGAAGGGAGAGAAAGGAAGAGGGAGAGAGAGAGAAAATACCATCAATGATAAGAGAGAATCAATGATTGGCCACCTCCTGCATGCTCCCTATTGAGGATTGAGCCCACAACCCAGGCATTGTGCTCTGACCATGACCTTCTGGTTCATGGGTGGACACTCAACCACTGAGCCACATGAGCCAGGCTCCCCCATCCCTTTGCTGCCTAACCTGCAACCCCCTTCTAATAAACTCTTAGTAATAAGTTTGGGCTCTTTTTCTAGGAACCCTAGATAGAAAAAGCGGAGACACTGCTATGATATGGAGATAGGCATTGGCAAGCTGGATTGAGGGACATATCTGTTCATATATTCAACAGGTAAGCAAAGTCAGGTTGATGAAGGATCTCAATATGTCAATAAATAAAATATTAGATTTTAACTGCTAGGATATGGAGTGCTTACATGGAAATATAAATGATGTGATTCCATTTTGAGATTTGTGTTTTGTAATACAAGAATATAAAATGATGTATTAAAGGAGAGAAAAGTTACAGGTTAAGTGTCTCTTACAATGATTTAATCTATCCATAAAAAGGAAATTTAATTGGAAGGAATAATATAGCTGAAAGCAATGACACAGATTGGGGGTAGATATTTGCAAAAGTTCAAGTGATAAAAGAGCTCATATCCTGAACATATATTTTAAAATGTGAATGACACAAATGATTTTTAGGGCAGATAGGCTAAAAGGAAAATAGGCAAAGGACCTGAACAGTCTCAACATAGAAAATACCCCAATAGCAGTAAAGATAAGAAAAGATGTAGAACCTCATTAAGAATCAGGAAAATGCATATTGAAAGCACAATGTAATTGCCACACCCACCAGAATGGCTACAGTGGAAAAGGCTGACAACGCCAAGTTTTGAAGAGGATGAGGTATAATGTGTCTTGGGCATTCCTTGTGTTCATGTCTGGTTTGAGTGCATTAGTACAACTGATTATGGCAGTACACCCTTATCTCCAGGGAATATGTTCTACGACCCCCCAGTTAAACCATAGATAGTATTGACCCCTATATATACTATCTTTTTTCCTATACATGCATAGGTCACAAAGTATCCAGATATACAGGAAAGTGAAGGTTCCATCACACCTGGAAAATGCAATAGCAATTGTGGGATCAGGCAGCAAGAATGAGAGAGAGAGAGAGAGAGAGAGAGAGAGCGAGAGAGAGGGAGAGAGAGAGCCTCATGTTCGCTTCAGCTGCGTGGCTGCCGGCCGACAGCTTCTCTTTGACATATATGTATTGCCAGCATCATAACTCTTACACTTTGGAGTTGTTATTAGGTAAAGTAAGGGCTACGTGAACCAAGTATGTGTTACCACATAGTCGATCTGATAACCAAAAGAGCTGCTAAATGACTAATGTGTGGGTAGCATATGCAGTGTGGATCCGTTGGACAAAGCAATGATTCATGTCCTAGGTGGGATGGAGCAGGTCAGTGCGAGAATTCATCATGTTACTCAGAATGGCATGCAATTAAAAACTTATGAGTTGTTTATTTCTGGAATTTCCCATTGAATATATTTGGGCCGTGGTTGACCATGGCTAACTGAAACTTCTTAAAGTGAAACCACAGGTAAGAAGGACTACTGTATTTGAAAGCACTTTAACATCTTCCACTCAAGTTGAAAATAAACAGCCTGTGACCCAGCAATTCTACATCTGGGTGCATGATCAAAGAAATGCATGCATATATGACCAGGAGACATGTACAATAAACTCCATGATGACATTATTAGTAATAACTACATTAGGAATATAAATATCCTAACGGTGAGCCTAAATATAACCCAAAATAATATCAACAT